TCCAGACTATCAAGGTTGCCAATGATGTCCATAATTCTCTTCTGGAGCTATTCAAGAAGGCATCATTAAAGTAATCACGTCTTCAGTTCTCCACTTCGCGCTTCGCCAGGTTTCGCGAACGTTTGAACTCAGTCCAGTTGTCTTGTGCTTGTTTTCTTTGTGTCTTACTTTGGCTTTGTCTCTTCTTTTCATTAGTTTCTTGATTTCAGACGTCAACCACTGAGCATATTCTTCAGTAATCCTAATGCGTATTATACAGACTGAGTAACTTTTTAGTAAGTATTCCGTTCTTCGATTCTTTTCTCAGAAGACCCCTTTATGAAGGTTTATTGTTATGTGGGTTTACAGGTACTTCCTCTCAGCGTTTTCTCTTACCCCTTTCGGTGGTTTCATCCCATATAGCGAGTCGATATGCGGAAATTATTGACTGGGTAGCTGTACAGGACATTTGAAATCAGATAAACATTTCCAAAGACTGAATATTTTCTATGCCTAATCCTCACCTAATTCACATCTGACTTGTTCTAGTTCACTCAACACCTCATTGAAAACTTGGATTTAAGTTTGTCACAAACTCTTGACTCTTATTGTTCGTGCTTTCGATGTTGGAGAAGCTGTTGTTGTTTTCGAGTTACGTCTCTTTTTTCTTGTTCTTTTTCTTCGATTGGGGAATGGTTAATGAAGTATCCTCTTTTTTTATTGTTTTTCTCTTTGATTCTTATTTACGTTTCGCTGTTATTCATTCATAGAAGTACCTTGCTGACTCTTATTTTCGTGTGATAGCTGAATGGAAAACCGGTTGTTTGGCTTCTTGTCTCTTTCGAAAAGAAACTTCAACATCGTGTTAATAAATAAAATTGTTTTGACTAAATATATGTTGTAGAAAGCATCTTTGAGGTATGCGTTACAGTAGTTAATGCAAGTAGAAGTTATCCACATCTTATAACGTAAAGACAGTGTTCACAGCTAACAACCAAATCTCCACTATTTTAAGAACACCCAAGGACACGATACGCAATGAAGCACAGAGCATTTACGAAATATCATGTTCTCACTGTCACACAACTCATACCGATCTCGATTTCCCTGCCATTCATTCTTATGGCACCCGGTCATAAGAATGAATGGCAGGGAAATTGAGATCGGTATGAGCGTGAGATACCTAGGAATTGTGGTGGACTCTGGACTGCTGTTCATAGAGCACCACAAGGAGGTGAGAAAGAAGGTGAGCGTGCTTGCAGGGAAAATGAGAAGATGGACCGGGCGGGACATCGGGCTCAGGAGAGAAAGCATTAGAGTGATTTATGAAAGGGTTGCTAAACCTGCAATAATGTACGGCGTGCAGGTGTGGGGGAGTATAGTACACGAAAGTAGAGTCAGGAGACAGCTCAGCGCGGCCCAAAGGCCATTCCTGATTGCCTCATGTGGGGCCTACAGGACGGCGCCGACGGCGGCGCTCAGCGTGATCTCGGGTATTGCGCCACTTCATGTTGAAGTCAAGGCCAGATACCATGAATGGAGGATGAATGGAGAAAGGAAGATTGAGGACAGAGTGAAAGGGATGGATAGGGTACTCCCCTGGATGCAAGGAATGTTGCTGGAGGAAGCGGAGGACGAGGGTATGGTTGAAGTGTATGTGGACGCCGGAGCGAACATGGAAGACGAAAGAATGGGCATAGGTTGGGCGTACGAAAGGATCGAGGGGGAATGGGTACGAGGAAATGAACGGATAAACGGCAGAGCTCGAGAAAGTGATAGGTATATGGAGTATGAACGAGAGCGTGAGAGTGGTCAGTGATTCTGCCGTGGCTGTGGAAAGGATGAATGCGGGAAGATCGAAGAATAAAAGAGTAGTAGCGATACAGAGAATGATTGAGGCAACGAAAGAAAGGGAGGCACGGACCCAAATAGTATGGCGTAGGGGCCACCAGAGTAGTAACCATGGCAATCAGAAAGCCCATGAAGAGGCAACTCGGAGCCTCAACCTGGAAAACGTTTCCTGGAATGTAAGAAGAATGGACAGTAAGAATGAGGAGAGAAAAAGGATAAAAAGGTGTATAAGGGAAGAATGGCAGAGGGAGTGGGAAGAAGGAACGAATGGGCGACTGTTATACAGGTACTGTAGAACAGTCGGATTTGAATCCCTCAATCTGTCGAGGAAGGCTGTCCAATTGTTCACGGGGCATGGTAACTTCCCGGGTTACCTTGCCAGGTTCAACCTGGGACCTGAGGTGCCATGCCCTTGTGGCTGGGGGGGAGCCTGAAACGGCAGAGCATGTGCTGGAGAGGTGCATGGAGGGAGAAAAAATCGGATGGCGCGAATGGAAGGAACGACTGGAGCGAGAAAATGGAGAAATGCAGTTTAGGGGAATCAATGAGAATAAAAAGGAATGGATTCGGGTAGCGAATGAATGGGCGGAATGTGTGGTGAGGGATGAAAGGGAATAAAAGACGGGCAGACTGCCACATATATTACTGATAGGAAAGGTGATGAGCGATACGCGCCCCAGTCCTGTCACTGGCCTGGCGAGTGAACCCCAAGTTATGTATTATTCTGGAACGCCAGATAATAGAATGTATTGTAGATGTAGTTAGATAGACATTAGTTAAATAATAGTTATTGTTGAAGAATGTAAATTTTAAGTTTGTAGAAATTGAATGTAATAATTTGTAGTAACAATAAAGATAAATGGGTCTTCTACCCCCGCTGGTTTCGTCCCTTCGTGTGGCCGGCATTATGCGTCGACTACACGAAGGGGGGGTGAGTTCGGAGGAGTAGGGGTTCCATTGACAGTGGTGGCGTTAGATAGAGGGAAGATGCCTAGTTGCAAGGCTCTAGGGCCAGGTCAGCGGAAGGCAATGGCATTATTCATGTCCCACAACTCACATCGGCCAGACTAGTAGAAGAATTTCCAACAGAGCCTATGAACATCATCATCTCTCTTTAAACACCACCAGGAAACAGGCCACACAGTAAGCTTCGAAAACACCAAGACCATTGCTACGGAAAAAATATTTAGGCCATGATAATTCGGGAAGCAATCGAAATTGAAAAACGTCCTAACTGCCTTAACAAGCGAGATGATTCGCAGAGGCTACCACAAACATGAATGTCATTGTTGTCACGCAAGATACCTGAAAATATCTCAGGTACCCGGTCAGGCAGACCGGACAACAATATTAATATGGGCCTCGAACAATAGAGTGACCAGTGCGAACTTAAAGTGAAACACAGCAAGCATAGAGCTAGTAATGAGACTTAGAGACTAGGGAGATTACGAACTCGTCCTCGAGTCATGTAAGTATAAATCTAAGTGATTCTTGAAAATGGCTCCAAATCAGTTGCCGAAACGTCGAAGAGATGAAAATTATAGACGCGGTTCAACCCAAACAACAGTATATCAGTGAAAATAATCCTTATGAGGATAAAATACACAGAACACGGACCGAAACCCGAGAAAACAGCTCGTCATACTTTGTCCGTGAGAATCTTCGAGCTTTCGAAAGCGGTGATAGTGTTACGTTATATGCTCACTGTCAACAGTATATGCCGACCGCACACTGAACACTGAGACATGCGAAGAGAGGCGAGGAAATCGTTTGTCCGAAATACGGCGCTGTGCGTTAGAGCGCCCGTACACGAGCCACATTTTGCGGTGGGACCACACAATTGCAGTCGCGTTTCAGCGAACTCAAGCCGCCCATAAGAAATACTGTACTACACGTACACGGGCGTTCACAAAAGTCAAAGCGGACGTCTGCAGTCAACTTGCTGCTGATCTCCGCCGAGATGTCATCGCGGCATCCGTCGTACACTAACCACAAACTTGCAGTCGTACCCAACCGCGTACACCGTCGCGTACTTTTTCTCATATTGGTCTCACAGCATTCAGTTTTTGATTTCAAAATTCTAATCAATTCATCAAAAGAACTCATGGACATTCTGAAGTAATTAAATTTTTTTTTCGTCTTGTCGGAGTTTACCGGTTGTTGCTTGTATGTTATTTCATTGTAATTTCAGTTTTTTACTTGATAACATTGTTTTTTCAGCTAATCTTTTCAATTTTTTTACAGATTCTTTCAGGGATTTTAAATCAATTTATGTCATATTACCACCACCTTCAAAGAAAATATAGAAATTTCCTTCCTGACGTGGATGTACCCAAAACGATCGTACCTTCGTCTTCTCCTTCTCCTCAAAATAAGAAGTAGTATTGCTTCTTCTTCGAAATCCATATTAAAACTGGCACTAAACTCTGACACCACAAAATATAGATGTCAGTTGCCTCAACTGCAAGTGCGGTTTATAAGACCGCAAGTCGACTACAAAAATGTGGTTGGGTCAACCGCGAACTGCAGTCAACGTGGCCACAATGTTATGGTTGTCTCAACTGCAAATATGTGGTTCGTGTCCGGCCGGACTTAGAGTGAGGAGAAAGGGAACAAGACATACTGACGTCGTTATGCGTTACGTTACCAAGTGGTTTACCCTTCCTTAAGAAGTTATCACTTCAAAAAATGTTGATAATCAATTTCTCTTTCCAGTTGGTGATGAAGTTATGAGATACCTATTCCCAGATTCAAACAACAATAACTTCGCAACCGGTTATCTAAAATCAAAAAAATCAAAGCATAGAGAATTGAAATACCTTTTATACGAAATGTCACAAGACATCCCTTTTAATTTGAAAAAAAATCCTTTCAGTGGCTGGTGATGTCACATTATTGACTTTCCATGAAAAAGTACTGAAATGATTCCTTTTCATGTGAATTTTGCCCGACTTTGATACCTTTCCCCATGCGAAATTTAAGAGAGGAGGGGCTTTTTACGTCCGCCCTGTATATCTCCTCAAAACAATCATCATATTTATTTTGAACCCCCGTTACTCCAAAAGGGAGAAGGGGTGAGTATGAACGTGTGCTTGAAAAATTTCTGTTCAGTAATAAAAATTGACGTGGTTCTGGATTCGTCTCATAGATGGCCGCACGTGTGGTTTCTTTCATACAAACCCTGCATGAAAACCCCCAGAAATACTCACGACATAATGCGAGGGCAACGTGGGATTCACAACGATCCTGTGGCCCATGCAAATCGGGCCCTGGAAATCGTCCTTTTCCGCCGAGGCTTCCTGGTGGCTCTTGTCGAATAGCCAGCTGGGCGACTCCTTTCTTGACAGCCTGCGGAATCTGACGGCTGCTCTCAGGGATTCCACCACTTGACCTAGCCTGCTTCGAACTGCCGACAAGAGGCGTTGCTGCTGGTTATTCTCCTGGAAAAAGAAGCCGGGATTAGGGAGAACGGAAATTGATGATGCGGTTCAAGACGCGAAATGTTGTAGCATTGTGTGTTTCGGAAAAATGTACAAGGTCTGTGTGTTTGAGCTCCGATTGATGACGGATGAAAAGGGTCTGAAATACAGTAGATATACTAGAAACACATTTCTAGAAAATCATTTATTTATTCATCAACTTCCATTTTGTCCCCGTCAAAGTAGTCCCCCTCAGATTTAATGAATACACTTGTGCGTTTTTTTCAGTCCTCGAAACAGTTCTGATAGGAGAAGGAAAAAGTCGCAGGGAACCAAGTCTGGTGAATACGGTGGCTGAGGCAGCGATACTCAATGATCCTCGACTGAAAGTGCGGAGTAAATTTTTATGTTTTTTTTTTGTTGAACCGGTACTTCCGGAATCGTCCTCGTATATACTCGTCTCAACTTGTTGCCATGCGTGACGTAATCATGATGGTTCGGTTTGTAACAGTCACAGTCCGTCTCTACTAGCATGTCCGTAACATGTTCTTGGTAACGCCATTGGTCATTTGTTACAAATAGTCTTTACTCTTCATTGGTGAACGACACTGGATTTCTTCGACTTCCCAACGTTAAAACCAAACTCCATTCTGAAACTGTAAGCATTCAATAACTCAATTTCCTTAACAAAGCAGCAGAGAAGTAGGAAAAATGTTTGTCGGGTGTAGGCCAGTGTCCGCCGTGGCATTAGCCAGGGACGTAGTTGTTTATAACATTTGAAACAATTCCCTGCCTCGCTGCTGCGAAATGGAATCTTTCCCATCGTGATTCACCTCGTCTAGTTCGTAATATGGCTAATAAAAACCGCCAAATATGGCGCTTGTTATTGACAGGCCTATTACGGCCGAAAAGTCATTCATATCTGCCCGTTACAAAATATCCTCACGTCCGATCCATCAGGAAACATATAAATAACATGAATATTGATGAAAGTCCCTTCAAACGAGCTTCATAATCCACCAATCACGAAATCTACTCGGGGGATGAACCTCGGGGTTTTTTTGCCATGAATGTGGCCTCATTTCCGCTGAGACATGGGATCCGTGGGAAGATAAAGGAGATCCATTATCTTTATATCTGTACTGAGCGGATTCCTAATTGAAATACTTATCGCAAGTCTTTCGTTTTGGTTAAGATGGATTTTCCGAGGGCCCGAGGATTTTATTATCTTCGTGTATGATCTTACTCGAAATTCAGTTTTTTTTGCTGTAAATTTTCAATTAGTGCAGAAAATCATCTAGAGTAAATCCACAAGAACGATTATGGAATGATGCTAAAACCTTTGCAAAAAGCAGCACTCGAGTTTTCAGAAGAAAATTGAATATAATCATAATTTTCATTGAGCATTTTCATCACTGGTGTATCTTAATAAATAACATGAACATCGTACCTTGAAGAATCCACACAAAAATATGAACGTTTTTTAAAGAAACCCACAAAAATTCGGCAAGTTATTCCCCAGGGTTCAATACTGGGACCTTTGCTATTTCTGATATATGCGAGTGATTTGATCAACTTCTTTCACAACCACAATGTCCTTGTAGTATCATATGCCGAAGTTTTAGCCATTCCGTTGAAGATCATTTTTGATGATGTCTAGTTCCTTCTCGAGACCTTCCTTCGCATTACAGAGCCCCAAAGCAGAGTCTTGATGATTCCTCTTTTAGTCGATTGATGGGATTGGCAAGCAGTTCATCCCAAATTCTTTGACTGTGAAGTTTTTTGCTTTCATTTATTCTAAGTTTGCAGTTGTTGCGAGCATCAACAAACCTAGTTCGGGATGCGAGATTTTTTGAGGCGACAGCTTGCTCGCAATCTTTGTTGAACCAAGATTTGCCGTTACAAGTTCGTTTAATTGAAAAATGAATATATGCATCCATGGATGATAGAATAACTTCCGTGACTTCAGAGGCACAAGTTGGTGTATCATTAGAGCTGTTTTTGTTCGATTTCAAACACTTTATAAAATTAAAATACTCAATGATCTATCAGAAATGAGAAATTCTTCTGTTGTGATTTTGTTTTTTCTCAGAAACTTGGAAATTATGAGGAATAATTGAAACAACAGTCGGTACTAGAACTTGATGTGAATTAGATAATTTTCAATGAGCAGGGTTTTGAAGCAATTATTGCTAAAGATCTGTAAAAAAAGTTGCGAAGCAAATATTTCTCAGCTACTTTCACTAGTAAACTGCTTATAATTGAAAAACTGTGCTATTAAAAGTAAATATGTATTACTATCACTAACAATACTGACGAAAAGTCATTATATAAATAGTCTAACACAACTCAGCCCTGTATTTGCAAAAAATCTCTCTCAGTCCAAATCTACCTAAAGAAAAGAAACCTACCCCATGATGATTCTCAACCGGAGTTATGTTCAACTTGACCGTTACCATATCCCCTATCTAGGGGGCGTTATCATAATCCACGGCCGTGAAGTATGAAATACGGCACTACCACTAAAAAAACCACCCTCGCCACGGTAATCTCCGAACGGGACGGACAAAAACCACCGGTGAGCGCACAAAAACTGAACCTTCAGCAGTAACAAAACGATTTGTGCGGGCTTGAAAGTCGTCACCAGCAGTGTGGTGGGCATTAGAAATTCATAGAGGATGCATATATCAATTTATTTGAAGTGTATGAAAGAATTTTTTCCACTCACACACGAACGCCTCAGCTGAAATTAGTTGCTCCTCGTCTGGGTACTTTATTTCTACTTTGTATTAATGATACTTAAAAAACATTTATTATTTACCAATGTATAAAATAATACATCTTCGAACTCTAATGAAGTATTTTGTTCTCCACCTATGATTGATGAGTAGTATTTTATAATCCAAATCAAACGATACAGGCAACAAACTATTGTTGACTGAATAAGAATCGTTATTCAGTCAACAATTGAGGGATTTTATTTTTCAAAATTTTGTAAGAAAAAACACACTGCATGATATTTTCGACGGTTGAACATACTGAGTTAACCAGTATCCTTTAATTTATGTGAAATAAATAATCTGAAATTAGCCTGTGTATCTCCTATATCGAGTGATCCAACGAAAAGTATGCACCTTGCTTTTCTCCTTTTTTTGTAACCTAACGCAAAAATGCTCGGACAGGTCAATTTTTCTTTTGAGTTATGGAAGCAAAAGGGTCACATTTTCAGCACTTGCTGAAGTAGGATTCTACTAAGTCAATTACACATTTCAAAGTACTGGGTTGTAGGTGTTTTTCTTCATAATACCTACATGTTTGAGTGAAATACAACAAATTAGGTATCATTGGAAAGATAATTTTGTGCCCTTTCAAATGATGTATCACTCGACCCCACTTTCCATTTAAAATTATAGGGTTGTTACTCACCCTCGTTAGGGGGTTGAAGGCACAGGTAGAAAAATACATCTAAAATGTGTCCCTCTCAAAAACAAAATTGACCTGTCCGAGCATTTTTGCATTAGGTTACAAAAAAAGGTGAAAAGCAAGGTGCATACTTTTCGTTGGACCACTCTGTATATAAAAAAGTGGATAGTTATATTCAATAACTATAGAGCGATTAGTATTCTTTCTAGCATTTCTAAACTATATGAAATGAAACTAAAAAGAGCTTTTAAATAGTTATTTCAGTGCGATGTAATTATTATCACCATTACAACATGGTTTCACGACTAACAAAAGCATTGATTCAGCTCTTTCGACTTTCATAGTCGAACAATAACGGCGATGGACACAAAAATATGTGCTTATTGTTCTTTTTTTGGTCACGTTTTCACGTGCGTTTGATTGCGTTAATCACAGCTATTTGCTGGAAAAACTCTCGAAATATGGGATTAGAGGATTGCCACTCAATTTATTGACCTCCTATCTAAAATATAGGAGACAGATAGTGAAAATGTGGGGGAATATAAGTTTCAAAAAACACATTGCCGATTGTGTGCCTCATCAATCCATTCTGGGACCTTTTCTTCACTTAGTTTTCGCAAATGATCTATCTAAATGGAAATTCTGCCACGCACTGTATATGTTTCGCTTGATTATGGGTTTCCATATGTTGCGTATCTCTACGCTAGCTTGGCTGAAACCATTGTTGGACAACATGTGTGCGGCTTCTTTGAATTTCCTCCTAAACCAATGTTCCTTTTGTATGATCTCAGCTTGAGACCACTCGATGTTATATTGATGGGTCCAAACATGCTCTGCTATTCCTGATTTGCTGGTTTCCCCTCGCTGTGTATGTTTCTTGTGCTCGGCAATGCGAACATTCAACGGCCTCTTAGTTTCACCGATATAAGATTTTCCGCACTCACAGGGTGTCCGGTATATTAATGGAATCGCAGTCTGCGTTTGGTGGCCTGGTTTTAGTGAGGCTGCTACGAATAGTGTTTCCGGATCTGAAGCAGGTTATGATGTTGTACTTGGTTCCAATTCTTCTTATTCTTTCCAATAATCCTCTGGTTGTGACATCTTCTCTTCCTTGCGAGGCTCCTGCTGTCTTTTAGCCAAAATCGGTTCCATCATCGCTTTGGAGTAGCCATTCCGTTGAAGATCATTTTTGATGATGTCTAGTTCCTTCTCAAGACCTTCCCCAGTATTACAGAGCCAGAACACACGGTCTAATAGAGTCTTGATGATTCCTCTTTGAGTCGATTGATGGTGGTTGGATTCGTGGTTCAGATACTGTCCCGTGTGAATGGGTTTTCGATATACAGATGTGTTCCACTCAGTGTCGATCCTCTTCACCAATACTTCTAAGAATGGCAACTGATCCTTCTCCATTGTGAAAGTGATGGAAGGTCTTACTCTGTTGATGTGTTTCAGGAAGGCGTCTAGTTCAGTAGTTCTAGTTCAATACTGAACTAGATACCTGGGATACCTCTTATTCTCTCAGGTATCTCTCCACTCAGTCAAGAGATTCTACTTACGCTTCATTATGCGAATTTTAATTCTTTCCTCAGATATGGCATATTGAACTGGGGCACAAGCTCCTCTGTAGATAGAGTGTTCATGATATAGAAGTATGCTGTAGGGATCAACTGCTACACTGTTGAGGAGTTTCGGCAGTAATTTTATATACATCTTTTTTATTATTATTACGCATGATATATTACCATATATCATTCTCAAACAAGAATTTTGAACCTTTTGTACTCTTCTTATATCAGAACTATCAATACATGGTCCATAGACTACGTTAGAACTTTTTTTAAGGGCAAAACACAAGCACTATAGGAAAATACTGGACAGTTTCGAAAAACATGCTGTAACAGCCATCAGATTTGATCTATCCAGTTTGAAAACAGGAGTCCAATTTGAACATATGCCCAGTTGAAATAACTAGCTATTGATTTGTTGAGGCAGTGGCGCAGGTCGGTTCTTGATTTTCTATAGAAATTCAGTTATACGTGCTGAAAAAGGTTATCAAACTGAAAGCTCTCATTTGGACACCATCTATAGAAGTTTCTAGAAATACTGTCCCCCTTTTCAACAGTTGTTTCTGTAGATCAACTTAGTTATACTGGGATACGGCTGAAGAAAATGTGTGACCCTACAGTCTACTCGAAAAATGTTCCTATACCCAGCCGCATATTATTGAAAAAAAGCGGTCATTCCTTAGTGAGACTCTGTACAAGCAGCCTTGTCTGGGAAATCACGTGCACTATGCATGATAATGTTTTGAAACACTCCGTGGCTTAGTTGGACAGAGTATAGTCCTTTTTTTGTTCATTAACCCCCAAATATTCATACAACCAACTAAAATAACTGTCTCAAAGTGCCATAAAAGTATTAAGTTACCGTCTTATTCAAATAATTCTAAGCGATCCGCTTTCAATGGATATAATTGAAAATGAGAAAACTTCTTTAATATTCATGAAGTGTTGCCCCTGGATCGGCAGAACGATATTTTTAAAAGGCACCATCGCCGATTCAGAACGTGAGGCTATTAAATTTCGCATAAACAATACGTGCCTGCAATTAGTGATTTATTATAACATCAGGGATGTGATAGTGGAACAGACCTTGGCTGGGAGGCAGCAAGAGTCCGCAAGCTGTTACAACCAGTGCTTGTCCTTGATCGTTCATAGGGAGAAACATTGATTTGAAAGGAAGTTCAAAGAAGCTGTATATATGTCAAGCTAGCGTAGAGTACGCAACATATGGAAACCTTCTATCAAAGTCATCTCTCGTAGGAATAGACCAGTCATCACCCGAAGGCGATTGTGAATACTAACAATCGAAACACTTGCAACTCACATAGTAACATATAACATACACAAATCACAATACACATAACACACATCACAAACACAACACGTACAACACATAATGTTGTGTTTTGTATTTTCTGTTCTATTTTTTGTTTTGTGTTGACATACAAATCACACAACTTACATATTACACAACACTGATGACACACAAAACACACAACACTAACATTGCACCTAATACACACAGCTCACATAATACACAATACAACCTGATGTGTGAACACAAGAATGTTTCAGCTTATTTCATCATCAATAACCAATGACAGCGTGACACTAACTTCACACCTTGAGGGTAGTGATTATAAGGTCCGAGAGTCATATACCCTGAGAAGACGCCATGAATTAATGATGTCGACCTTATACAGTTGTCCGACCCAAATTTTTACTGTAGAGCAGCCAATAGGATTTTGAGGTTCAAAAGTAGGGAGGATGCAAAATTGCTGTAGCTGTCTTCGTTACTATTTTTTAGGACCAAACATAATCACTACAGAAAAATCTTCAAGGCGTTCTGAAAGCGGTGCCTGTGCGAAAGTAGTAATTCACATTGGATTTAAATCGCTCGAGGTTAAATCCATTTGGAAAGACGTTCTCAGGCTTATTCCAGTTTTTCAAATGAAAGGGTTTTTAAAACATTGAAGTTGGAGGTGTGCTGAAATGAACCTCAAAACGATGAGCAGCGACAGTCCGTCGCGTATTTCAGATATGAACCGCTCTTGGTGAAATCAAATGTGCCAAGTCACTTGAACACCTCCCGTGAAAGTATTTCTCGAAGAGACACAAATCTTCAAGCTTTCTTCGGTGTTCCGGACTATCAAGGTTGCAAGTGATGTTCTCGTCTCCAATCAGGTGGATGACTCTTTTCTGGATGAAATCCAGCAGCCTCAGGGTATGCTTAGGGCCGGAACTCCATACATGATAACATTACTCCAAAGAAGGTTTGATCTAAGCTTTCTAAAGCATCAAAAGTTGCTGAGGTGTGTAAAGTTTTCTGGTTCGAAGCAGTGTTCCAAGCTTTTGAGAAGCAGCCTTTGCAATTCCAGCGACATGATTGTGTCAAGACATTGGTGTCCATTTTAACCCTCAACAAACTCATCGAAGCAGAAAGCGGAATTGTCTGTCCTGAAATCATTATATCCGGTTCGAAGACATTTGTGGCATCGAATTGAACCTGGTTACTTTTACCCCAATTCAAAATCGCCTCCGGATCCTCATTAAGATATGCAACCTCCTGTTGCTGGTGAAGATGTGTATCCGCAGTCGATGTTCTGGAATCCAAAAGGAATGACGAGACAAGTTTGCTGTCGCCAGCAAACCAATATATTGGATGCTTGGTTTTTCCCTAAAAGTCGTTGATATACAATAAAAAGAGGGTTTGAGACAATATAGATCCCTGGGGAACACCAGCGTTGATGGTAAATGTATTCGAGAGATATCCATCGACGGCCATTTGCAGGGAATGTTTTTTCAGGAAGCTGGAGAGCCATACACAAAAATGATCCGAGAAACCATTAACATCGACGTTTAGCCAGCAAACCCCTACGGTCAGAGGCTTTAAAGTCTATCCAAATCCAAGATAGAGTGAAACAAAACAAAACCGAAGCGTGATGTTCACGTGATCGCCCATCCGTTAAACTGCAAAACTTGTGCATTTCACTCGTTATTATTAAAAAGTTTTCCTAAGTATGATATAGCATTTGCGATCAACAAGATGTTGGTTCTGAATACGACCCTGGCCAATTCTTGGGATTTTTAGTATCACGTGCGTAGGGCATGTCAATGTTTACATCCACTCTATCTTGGATTTGGATAGACTTTAGATCGCAACAATTCTTGACTCTCCATGTTTCTCGATTGCGAGGATACAGATATGAGGAAAATGTAATATTTTAAAATGACCACACTGTACATTCACAAATGAATATGTTGGTGGATCATAAAATTTAAAATTGACTTACCTGTGATGGGGTGTCGGAGGTCGAATGATGGCCTCCAGTGAGTGGAGTGTTGATTTGGATTTCGGCAAGCCTGTCTGTAGAACTATCGCGAGATAAATTCGAGGTGGCGCTGAATTCGTTCTTGGAATAACCTCTCGTGAGGCCATCTTTCTGCAAAAAAATATAGGGTCAGTCTTCAAAACTTATATGTGGGTGCAAATATAATTTTCTACCTTCTCTAGTCTGTTTGAAATCTATTTTTCCGTTAACCAGTTGTCGCACCCCTACGAACGACAACCCTCAAAAGTCGAAACTTGTGCGAACCAAGGATTAACGAGGTCTTACCTTCTAACGTGTGATTTCTAATATAATATACACTTGCGGTACTACGATTATTTCGAATCAATGAAAACGAAGTGATGCACTAAAGGAGATTTGATTTAAAAAAAATCAAAAAGGGATATCTCCTGATCCAAAAAAGATTTCGATCTAACGGCCTGACGTTCACTTCTGAGGTCGAACCTCAATTTTTCTCATAAATCTCAAAATTATGCCAAGATGCGATTTTTTTTGTATGCAATATTTTTATGCCAAAAGTTGATGGAATCACAAAAAAATGAGTGGTCGCGCGTCAAAAAATATTGAAATGAAAAACAATAGAGCTATTTTTTTGATGATTAGGTAGACCTTTTCGGACTTTTGGAAATTTGTACAAACGTTCATTTGCAATAAATATCAGGAACTAAAATTTGGCAGAAGGCTTTCCTTTCTATATACTTTCATTGAAAAAATCGAGGTTATACATCAGCGAATTGCGAAAAAAATTGATACTTAACAACTGTCGAATTTTTAAAAATTCGACGGTCGAATAAAAATTCAACAGTTGTTAAGTATAGACATATAATATGAAGTTCTATATTATTTGTGATTTTTTATATGTAACTGATTAAGTGACGAAACAAATAATTACTTAAATTATGGATTTACATGATTTTTCTCTTTCCGAAATGAAAAATATAGATTTATAAACGTCTGTAGAATTTTTCAAAAGGTCAAAAAAAACCGTATCTTTGAAAATTCCCAGTGGAGAGACAGATTGAATCCAAAGTTATCGAGTAATTCAACCATCTCAATAATTTATCACGAGCTTTTTCCGAAGCCCAAATCCGCTTTCAAAATGATGTAAACAATGAATTTAAAAAGCCTGGAGCTCAGATTAGTCTTTCCATCGTTTATTTGTCTTCAAGAGAATGGCACCGAGAAGATCCCACACAGCCCATTAATGCCTACGAAAACCAAAACAAAATTTCAATTCAGTGCCTCAGGTATTTTCACGGTACGTTTTTCAAAGTGATGAAGAGGTTGGGCTCTCTCATTTACACCGAAACATAACGATCATTTTGCTGGCTATTGACAGAGGATTTAATCAAATTCTGATATAAATTGCTCTCAATAAAAACCGTATGGACGGGTTTTTGAGTTTTTTCATATACGATCCATAAAAGTCGGATATTGCATCATATGCTGATGAAAATTTTTATATAGATTATGGAAATTGTAGGTAGTAAAGAATGCATTTCTGTGCATTCCGCAATTTTGTTTTCCACATTTTATGATCTTTCTCATATCCTTCTTATAAAATGGATAACTTTCTCGATTAACGTTCAACCAACATCCATACTGAAATTGTTTTATATTTCGTGAATGGAAGTTATTCAAAATACTATTATCTATTGTATACATCGATGTTTCGCCAGTGAGGATGACAGTGTTCCATGTAAGTGCAATTTTTTACCATTCATTTAAAGTAGAATTCATGTTAATTATATCTGATTTTCATTCCACAAAGAATGTTTGAAATACAAACTGAGTAGAGAAAAGTATCTTCTGTATAATTCAGTGTTCAT